ATATGGTACTGTATTCTCTATACATAAGCATGCAGTAACTTACAGTATAAACTCTATTTTCCAAGCTGCAGTAAGGAGGCCTTTGCCTGATGGTTAGAGCAAATGCAGGTGCAGGTGTTTTAAACAGCTGTGTCAGCCTGAAAAGAATGCAGCTGCCTTCCATTAGCTTTTAATTTACTATGGTAGGCTTGCTAGCCCAACAATTTATAAAATGCCTCAGCATATGGAGCTAGCGTTTACCTGGGAGCCAAGAAAGTTCGTTCCAAAAACTCTCAAAATCACTCGTGCCTGATTTAAAGGCTGAACACTAGATGGAGCTATGTCCTTCTAGCACCGCTAGCTGATATAGCTAGTTACAGCTGTCTCAGGTAAAATTCTAGTTAGTTACATGCAAGTGGCCAGATCAATGACTTGTTTAAACGTCTTTAAAAATGCTGAACAAATGTGACAGTACTTTTCTGAAAGCCTTTTTAAAGAACTGCAAGTGTCCATGAAAACTTCTAGAATATAAACAGAAGACTGGGGTGGGGGGGGGGGGGGGGGGGGTGGGGGGGGGCGGGGAGGGAACAAAACCAAAAAAAAAACAGCTCAACAAGTATAGTATTCTCTGATCAAACCATCTATATATATTAAGGAGTTTTTAAAAAAGTATTTCATCTGCCCTAGTAAGAGATATCTGAAAAGAAGACTTTTATATCATACGTACTGCTACAGCACATCTGATGCTCTAAACTATGAGAGAGAAAAAATAGTAAGTTCTGTTTTAGTATCAAATAGCTGTGGTTGTCCTACAAGATTCCAAGAAAAAATCAAGTGTAATTTTATGTAGAGACAAAATATCTTTATTTAAACTCTCATCTTGAATATTTCACATTAACTCCACCAAATAATGACAGGGAAAAAACCCAAACCCATATCTTACCCATTAAAAAAAGATCATACCACATATGATAAAAAAAAAATTTCAAAGGATAAGACAAGGTTTTGCACTTTACCAGAGGAATTGGTCACATGACTGGCCACAAATCTCTGTTAAAGATAAGGCAGGCTACACTTTCTAATGAGACATAATGGATTAGCTGTATGAATTCAATGGGGAAGGATTCTCCAATACATTATTTCCTGTCTACAGCTAATTTAACCAAATCTACGTGAAAGGAAATCTCTGAGCATTTAAATGGATCATTTTTTTTCACAAACAAGAGATTACACAGTTCTTGCAGCTTTCACAGTCCTTCACCACAACGTTTATTCATTGTTTTAACACTGGTATTTCATAGACTTTACAGTCTATGAATATGGGTACTGTGATTTGAAGAAAACAGTGAAATCACACTGTGACTAACCTTTGTTGTAGTCTTCTTAGAGTAAAGCTTTAGATAAGGAAGGACATGAGGTCTTAGGTATCTCTTGTGAGAATTCTTGAGTAAATTGATAATAAAAATCAAAATGGTTGGGACTGAGTTTAGTTGCAGTGAATTCATTCTTCTTTACAAACAGTAACATTAAAACTTTATAAAAACTTCTCAGCTAATTAAACAGCAATTTGGAACATACTGTAAATTGATATATCAAAACATAAATATGTTTTCCTACCTTATAGCCATGAGCTTCTATCTAATGAGCACAGCTATTTAGAGCCTTCATCCAAGCATCTGTTTCAGTCCTTACCCTTCAGTGACTGTGAACCATTTTGCCACTTTTCTGTACAATCCAGTAACAGGCCAAGCAGTGCACTATGAAAGAACCAATAACATGCATAAGTCTAAGCACCATTCAGGCATGCTTGGAGGATCAGGAACGTGGCCTGAACTCAAATACAGGGCCATTCAGCATTGTCAGCATAACCGTAATGCGACTGTGACACTGAGGAGAAGAACTCTGACAGTTCTGCTCAAAAATTTTTAACAAAATAAAAATATACCCTGGTTGTTATATCTAGTTGAGATAAACAGTTACAGAACAACATGTGGGATCTCACAGTTAACTTTACACTAATTTTTCAAGATGGAAGAAATTAAGATGGCCAGTAAGGCAGTGTCCAGCAGTGTTCTCTTTTGGGGTTCCTAACTTGTTTTTTTCATAGGTCTTTTCTGAGAAGGATGGTTCTACTCTCCCTGAATAAGCTCCATTGTTATATGAGAGGCAAAGACTTAACACAATGCCAGCTTTGTGACAGTAATGTGTCTGCACTACTGCAGAAAAGAAACAAACCACTCTTATTGAAGGGGGTACTTCTGGAATGGTAATTAGCCAAGAGGCCAGCACAGCTGAAGGAGTGCTTCTGAAACCCACTACACTGAGAGAGATACAGAATTAATCCACTTCAGTTAAAGTTATTTTAAACAGGACAGACAGGATCAACAAGCTAAAGGTAGATGCAAATTAGGATTCTGTCTGCTTTCAGGTGGTACGGTAATATTATAGTAGTATCAGCACTCCATATATCAAACAATACAGAAATAGAACAGTAAAGTGATAACGTATGAATATTGTGGCAGTAGCGGGACACCGGTTTGCATTCTATGCTTAGCCTGTGCTGCTCAACCTCTCTCTGCTTCTGCCTGTGCTTCCCAAGGGAGTGGCAGTAATTGCACTGCCTCTCTGCTCCAGGTCTTTTCCCTTCACAGCACTAGGGCAAGGCCATGCTCACCTTCCTGTGCACTGGCTGACACTGCTTTTCTCAACAACACACTGGAGTACAGCATGTACCAGCAAGGTCTTGACTACTCCAGGTCAGGGATAAACAAGAAAGGAGGTAACAACCCTACATGGCCATAAATGAGGTCCCAGATGCTGCTTCCATCATGTGGAAAGTTGCCCAGACATGTGTCCTACATCTTCAGCGAGGCAAGTTGGAGAAAAGGAGAGGAAACCAGCCTGGTGGTGAAAAAGACTCCCAGCTTTGCCCAGACTGTTCTAAATTCTGCTGTCCCCTTCCCAAATGGTTTAATGATACTACAACAAGCATCACTATAGTAATGCTTTTTGGTATCAGTATTACAAAAGATGCATGTGTTATCAACCATTATAATTTTGACCACTCCTATACATGACCTATTTAAGATGACTACCTCAAAGCTGAGAGGAAAGACAAGAAAAATTCAAAAGCAAGCCAAATTAATACACAGCCTGTGGATTCTTGCCAGTTTTAATTATCCTTTAGCATGTTCAGAGATGTTTCAAAGGTGTTCTACTTCACCTCCCATCTTCTCCCTCTCCCACCTTGGGCATGTTTGCTCTCTAAGTGAGGTCCAATTATTTTTCTGGAATATCTGGTATATGATTCATAGTCTTGGTCTCATGCATAGGTTTAAAAGAAAACTGAAATCATACAAAAACTCTTCACAAGTTCAGATAGTGCATCAGTTGGTAACAGGGAAAAAATATTTCAACATTCCAAATATAGTACAAGCTTGCGCTAGGAAAAAGGAAATTCTAAAATTGAGGACAACTATTATAAATAGTAGAATTACATTAAAACATCATGCATATTAAGCATGCTTAGACTATTTAGATTAAAGTCAACATCATCACAGAAGGAAGACAGCAAACTGTGGTGGCTGAAATATTCCACAAGCAGTGAAAAATGTGTGTTTTAGTTATATTGCTGATGTTACAAGTACTCCAAACTCTTTATCTCACTTTCTGCTAAATGCTTGCTGTTGTTTAGCCAACTCCCTAGAAAACTAATGTAATCAGAAGTACTCAGCACACTCATGCTGTGGAAGAGCTGTGTCAGTATCACATATGTGGGATGACCTGTTTGAGTAAAAACAAGACAACAGACGCCCTTATCAGATCTTGGATCAGCAAGGCACCCAAAGTGACTAGTAAACTCCCAATGACCAAAACTTGCAGCACTTTTCATATTTCTAGAATTAATCTTGGAATCGCTACAGAGAGAAGAAAAACCTACATCTTTTGAATGTGAGCCTTTGTTTTATGCGTTGCTTCCTTGGAGACTTCCTGTACTAGACATTTTTGCAATCATAAACATAGCATTAGAGAATGTTTTTAAAACAGGAGTCAACAGAAATAAGACATGAAACACTTATATCAATATAAATGGCCTATGCTATTATTTTGATAACAGAATTAAAATAGGTAAGAAGTGCCTTACGTATAAAAATGCCTGTTTTTTAAATCTTTGGAGAAAGAGTATTGCTTTTCTCAGTTAATAACATGTTTTTGTTAAGTTAGAAAATCCCTAGTATGTAGGAATACGCACCAAAAGTATGCCTGGTAGCACTATTTAAAACACCATAGTTTTAATCAACTGTTCTACATCCAGTAATAGTGATATAAAGAATAAAACTCAGAAACTGGGGGAACAGGGAGAGGGGAAGTTGTCAAAGCCCTTCCCTTCCCACTGGAAATCACTGCTAATACCCAGCTTCCATCTCTGCAATGAGGTGACGGGAAAGGTTTCTGTGGAGCTAAGGTCTAGAAGGCTGCAGTCGGGCCAGCCAGACCTCGCCAGTTCCCGCAGGGCGCATAGCAGCAACAGAAACCGAGGCAGTGCAAGGCAGGGGAGGTCGTGAGGCACCAGCCGGGGACCCTTCCAGGGCCCAGGCCATGCTCCGTAGCCAGGAGCCTTAGCCTTACGCTGACGTGAGGGGCTAGTGGAGGATGTCTGGGGTCTTCGTGCCCCCGCCGGTACACACACCTGCCCGGCAAGCCCTGAGGGCGCTGTGGGGAAGCGGGAGTACCCACCTTCCCGCTCCCTGCGTGGGCTCCGCCGAGCGCGGGTGTCCCGCGTGGGCCGAGCTAAAGCCTGCCGCGCGCCGGCCGCGGCCCCTCCGCACCTGCCCGCGCGGGGGTGGCGCGGGAGCGCCGCGCGCCCTCTCCCGCCCCCGCAGCTCGCTGTCACGTGGGGGGCGGCCGCCGCCGGTCCCGTCTCCACGGCCAATGGCGCGTCCCGCGCGCGCGTGAGGGGGAGCCGGGGGCGCGCGCCGCCCGCCAGCCGCCGCGAGGCGCACCTGGTGAGGTGCGTGAGGGGCGAGGGCGGGCGGCAGCACGGCCCGGGGAGGTCGGTCCTGGCGGGCGGTGCGAGCCGGGGGCGGGCTGCGTGGGAGGGCGCTCGGCGGAAGGGTCCTGCCTCGGCGGGGAGCGCTGGCGCCGCTGGCCGGGCGGTTCGGGTGTCCCTGTGGCGCAGGCTCGGCGGCGAGGCGGCGGAGCGCTGGGCCGAGCTGTCCCGAGGCGCCGCGGCGGTTCGGGCGAGGGCAGCGTCGGGCAGGAGCCGGTCAGAGGGGCACGCAGGCTCCCGTCGGCTTCTGGGGCGCTTCGGCCGTTGTTTGCAAGGGGATCCTTCACGAGCCCTGATGCGGATGTGACTGCAGTGCCTGTTGCTTCTTTTCTCTTAATGCTTTGCTGTTGCTGTGACAGTTAAGGACTTGTCGTGGTTTAACCACAGCCAGCAACTAAGCTCCGTACTGTCGAGAAGACTTTTAAATAGACGCGGCTCCTGTAAGTTAAATATTTATTCTCGCAGCGAGCAAAGCTTTGAAACTTGAGTTCAACTGGCAGTTCAGTAAACAAACCGTTTTATTGACATAGAACAGGCGATTCAGAAACTCTGCTGTCAGTAATGACATCCAGTTGCAGCCAAGTTCTCTAAAGTGGAAGCGAGGTGTTCTCCACCCTCGGTCTGTAATTGAAAATTAATTCAGAAAAGAGATATGTAGGAGAAATAAGATAGTTAAAAGGATGTTCAGAAGAGAAGAGCTGGAAGATGAAACTGGCTATTATGGGCTGTTTTACCAGTACAGAGATAAGGGCAGTAAGAGTGTGAAGAGATGTCAAGTGATCTCCAGTTTCATGGTTTTGCACTCATGTTATCATGCTAGTATGATAAAAATACCTCCCCTTTAACATTTACAAGAAGGATAAGGAGTCACACCCTTTTGAGTGTGATTGCTCAGTTTTGCATGGGGCAAAATAAGGTGTTAAGTATTAATTTGGTGGGTCAGTAACTCCAGATCTGACTGTATGTAGGTAAAGTGCAGTATGTACTTATGAAGATTTGCATGTACAACACTTATTTCCACAGTCATAAAGGTCTTCTACAATTTCAGATTTTTAATTGAAGGATTTTGGCAAGATGGGGAATTGTGAGGGGCACTTTTATGTGGTTTTTGGTTTTGTTTGGTTGGTTGGTTTTGTTTGGTTGGTTGGTTTTTGGCTGGGTTTTTTTTGTTTTGTTTTGTTTTTTAAACAGGAACATGTGAACAGGTGTGTGAAGGGCACTTGTATGGAGGTGTGGAAAGAGTAGATGAGAGAGGAAAGGAGACTGAATTTCAGCTTTCCAGGTTTATTGCTTTACTTTGCTTGTGTTCCTGACTTTGACTTGGATCTGCTGTATGAACTTAGCTAAAACCAATAAATCTTTATTCTTCCTTGTATCTTCCTAATGGAGAAATGCATGTAGTAGAAGTCAGTATACCAGGAGAGTGAAAGGACAAACTGTGACAAACTTAAGCAAATATGGGCTGGTTTTAAATTATATGGATTTACCCTCCATTTGCTGATAGTTCCCTCTGCAAACAATTGTAAGGGCCTCTTGAAACTAAAGGAAACCCAGTGTAAGAGCAGAGGGAGAACTCAAAAGAACCTTATGTTTGTCTTTAGGACAAGTATAACTTGGTATGAGAATATGAGGAAAAAAAATATGTAAACAAATTATAATTTGTAATATGTAAAATAATTTCAAGTCCCCAGTAACAAGACTTAGGCTGAGAGACAGCCCAAGACTAATTTTGCCACTGACTGATGATGTTTATATCTGTTGGATGGACTCATGATATGCCTGTAACTGTTTCAACTAATGTTAGCATCTCTTTTGAAAACTTAAATGCTTTATTTACCCAAGCCAGGTAATAATCAAGTGTCTTGGCAAAACATATAGCAGTTTATCTATTGCACATCTGGGACTCTGCCCTATGGAAAGCACTAAATTAAAGGGAGGGGGCAGAAGCTGATTAAACTGTGTGGCTGAAGCATGGCAGGAATTGGGCTGGGAGCGTTGTTCACTGGTTCCGTGTTCCCTCACTGCTTTCATCTCCTGTCCCAGGAGGTTGAGGAATTAGAGGAATGGTGGCAGAGTGCACTGCTGCTACCATCTTGATTTCATTTCAGCAACCCTATCCATATGAGGGCTATGCCAGAAGCAGGGAGGACAGGAAGGAAGTAGGGAAGGAATAAGTAGAGATGGGATAATAAGCGCTATCCTCCCCTCACTCTTACTGCATCTGATCTCACTTCATATTTGTTAATGTGGTACCAGCAGCATGGAAAAGAGATAGGATGGGGGGGCGGGGGGGGGGGGGGGGTTGTGTGTGTAAACCAAGAGGGAATACGTTGCTGTAGGCACAGACTAGAGAAGTGCTTTCTGTGTTCTTGAATCATTTCTCCCTGTTTCCTCTGTCATGCCTCTGTTACACTGAGCCTCTCTGTTACTCTAGACTGTCTGTGGAGGCTCTAAGGCAGCATTATGTGACTGACTGTGGTGGATTGTTTGAATGGAGGATGGGAAGAGAACAGATGAGAAAGAGTAAATGAAGACCTTAAGAATCACATTCCCTGAACACTTTGATAGGGTCAGCAAACAAGGGGGAAAGGCAAAGGGAGAATGTGCTACGAGTACAAAACATGGGAAAATGAAAAAGAACAAAAGACAGTGACCCACCTTTTTTTTTTTTTTTTTTTTTTTTTTCTCCACGTGCAGCTCTGCTTCTAGCCCTCATTTACCTAACTTGTTTCCTGTTTGACTCTTTTAGGTCTCTCTCTCTTCAAAACAAACAACCTCCCACAAAAAACGATGAAACTCTTATGAGTGAATATAGTGTCTAGGGATATTAGACTATTCAGATACAGATCAGAAACTTTGTTTACTTTCCCCACAGCTAGGGATTTTTTTGAGCCTTTCTGCTCAAACAAATGAGGGCCTTGACCTGGTAAGATTAATAAGGGATTATGCTTGTATTCATAATGCAGAGCCTCAGTGGGGCTTTGATAGTTAGCAAAAAATCTACTTTTCCCCTCCCCCCCCAAAAAAGATATTTACAGGAATAGGATGAAACCATCTTATTGCTTTAGATGTCCACAGTATGATTCAGAGGATTTAGTGTCTATCAAAGCAGCAAAATGATGCATAAGGAAATGTGTTCTCTGATAATGATCACTCGGTATAGGTGCAAACATGTTATCATTCAATGTACTGTACCAAACAAGGCTTTTCTGCGTTTTCCAGAAATATCTAATAGTATAGAAATAGTAATGCAACAGAAGACGACATTGTTTAGGGCAGTAGATGAGACCCTTCAGAAGTCACTTTTCTGTTAGTGAAGTTGCATCATTCAAATCTTTGGAGATGTTTATCACCTCATTTTGCCACTTCATCCTCAGAGTTCAATGAATTCAACTTCTTAAGGTATAATCTTGAAATTCTCATAAACTACTGAATAAAGCTTAGCCAGCAATTGCTGCCCTTGGAGGCATACTTGATGAGTTACCAGAGTTCAGCAGATGCATAAGAAATAATTTCGCTTCAGTAACTTGATCCCACAAAAACTGGAAAGTTTAAGCCACGAACTATTTTAAGTTCTCTAAATTTTCCCTGGTTTGCTCTTGTCTATTCTGTGCTATCAACTCACCTGCTACTTTGAAGAGCTGAAGAAACTGAGACTCCCACCTTTGGACAATCTGTTCTTTAACTTTGTCTAAGCACCAGCTCTGAGGTGATAACATATCTTTGATAAACTGTGACAGCTTGAATTTCTTCCTGCCACGCCTTTGCAGTATTTTATAGTTCTTTTAAACAGATGTGCATTAAGCAACAAAATAAAGGTAATTTTTTTTTTTTAGTATGTTTTAGCACAACATTTTTATTTCAAGTCTCTTGTGATCTTGTAACATTACAGTTACCTCTTTTGTTTCCCTGCATCTTCATGTGTGTGTTTGCTATAAAACCATTTCCCAACAGCACTTTTACTTTTATTTGGCAATTCATTGATGAAGAGAACAAATAAGTTAAATTACAAAGAAACATAAAAAGTAAATCCTAACAGCATGTTGCCAGTGTAGGTCAATTTGTGGAATTTATGTTTATACAGTGCATCTGCGAAGTTACAATGGAGTGGTTTAAAGGACTGTAAGAATGACCTGGATTTTAAACTCTAATTTGATAGCCTATAAAGCAAGATTGTTATGAGTACTGTGTAGCTTACTAGTATTTCTGGAAGACCTGTAACCCAAAGCTGCTGAGGGGAAAGAGCTGTATATTTTCATACTGATCAAAGAGGAAAATTGGGTATCTTCACGTGAATAATACAGGACGTTATTTCTCTGACAGATGATCAACAAACTAACGAAGACCATTAGTCTTTTTCTTAACTCTGTGCATGTGATATATAAAACATATTCTTATACTATTTTCTTATATTTCTTCTATTTATTTTATATCCACATAAAAATGTCTGCTCATCTGTTCAGCTGAATTTTTCAGGTAAAACCTGAAGTAACTGAAGATAAAAGTTAAAAATTTAATACAGGATAAAATAGAACACTTTATGGTTTAGAGAGGGGAAAAGAGAAGAAATCTGATGGTGACCATATGGTTTAGAGAGGGGAAAAGAGAAGAAATCTGATGGTGACCAAATAGGATGTGGCAGACAACATGCCTGGAATGGTAAATGATGGGAATGACTTCCAAAAAGTCTTCAATGACAGAGTGTGAACTCCTGATTGTATGAGAGATCTTTTGCATATCATCCAAGGGCATGGTGCTAAGTTGATGGTGTTTTCCTGAAGCAGATGTGAATTCCTTCAGCAAAATCTTGAATTAGGCCAGAGGGGTGAAATAAGACTGAAGGTTCAAACTTAAGACATGCTGGATGGAAGAAAAAGACAGGTCCAAAGCCTGGCTCTGTTACAAGTGTTGCTTATCAAATGCTGACTGTGAGTCTTGTTTTCATTAGAGTAACGATGTAATATGTATGAATATTCATAGAGAATGATTCACTTGTTGGCTATTTCTTCATACTCTTTAAAATCATCAGATTGTATGCCAGTTAAAGTAATTACTAAAGATAAATCTAAGATGCTGAATTCTAACCTGGATTTCAAGCTCTGACAGTATGGGAACTGCTGTTTTACTTTATCCTCTTCTGAAAGCAAGTATGGTTGTTCTCCATGTTCAGAGGTGACTTATCTGGGAATGCCTTCTTGTTTCTGTCTGTACTGCTCATACAAAGAAGTCATTTTGTTTCCAATTTGCACTATTTTCAACCCAAAGTTTATTTCAGAAGTCTTAGTTTGACAGGGGAAAATATTTCTCAAGTGTCTCTTGAATATAGTGAATCATATTTTTATTCCACTACAATACAGTGCAGATGGTAGCATCTGCTTTAATAATGCACAATCAGAACATCTTATTCTAATGACATTGAAGTAAGCTTTATGAATGTGTT